TATGCTCTCACGGACTGCAGTTCAGTTGGTGAGAAGGATAAACCCTATTAAAAGCTGCCAATTTGGTTACGAAAAGCAAAACGCTCAGATACAGTCATAATAGTAGAGATTTTCAATGCCCAAGTACAAAAGCTGAGCCAATCGGAAAGGCATCTTGAGGGTATCTACGAAATTCTATGCCTAAGTGAAAACGATGATAATCTGTAGCAATTTTGCACCGACAGTTACTTGTTTCTGATCAGCACTGACTTCGAGCAGAAGCAAACACAGTCTCACATGGCACCCACCGAAATCAAATCAGCAATGGACACAGAGAGACCATATTGCTATCACTTATCACTGGAGAGGGTTGGCAAAAGATTGCCTCCCCTTCGGGAGAGTGTGCTTTTACATCGACCACGCGCTGGTCCGAGCACGTATGTTTACATCTAACTGCTCGCGGGAAACAGGAGTCAGTAGCGCCTGTGCATGCTCGATTAGAAGATAAGAACATCAAGTATGTACTTATAGAGGAGTTACCTGAGCATTTAACTGAACTTGACAGCAACGCTCGTGCTGATGAAACCTAGCGTGATATTAAGTCTGCTGTAGAAACCGGCAAAGGTAACTGGTAATGTACACCTGAAGGTTAGCAAAATTCATTGGATTTCCGCAACGTCATCAAGACTGACTGGTGTGAGAAGACTGATTCCAGCTGGCTCTGATCACGATGAATGTCAAAAGCAACTTAAGCCCAAGTTTACCAAGAGTCATGTGGGGAGATGTAGACTACCTGGCTGTTGGGAGGTGTACGCAAAAAAGACAGGAACCAGTGGTCAAGAACGCCTGGTCAGATGACTGAAAACTGGTCACAGTGGCGCAGATGTATTCACTCTTTGAAGTCTGCTAAAGCTTGAATATTTACGCTAACCTTTATAATCTAATTGTTTATTCTATCAGACAACTTTGTTCCGTTTGATATCAATTTTCTTATCCAACTGTTTCTTGAATGCTACTATGAAATGTGACAACTTGAAGCAGTGCGATTGTGTGTGAGGTTCTAAGTTGATTTTGTCCCCAACTCTAACGACCATGTGTCACAGCCGTATGACGGGACAGAACGGGTTGCAGCGCAGCATATTCCTTTGAAAGACATTCCGATATTTCGCATGTCGATACCACAGGTAACGCAAGTTGGCACATGCCAAACAGACCTTTCCTATCACATCTGATAATTCGATAGAAACTAACCTGTCCGGGCAGATACATCTGCGCAAGTAAGTGAAGTGGTCAATGCATTCCGCTACTTCATTCCTTATCAATAAGCTAAGAGTTGTTGCAGACCATTATTTGGGTTTATTATGGATGCCGGGGAGAAGAAAATGATAGTTAGTGAAACGATCACCGAAAGGCGTAGGACGCCGATAATCTCTCAGGACAAGTGGCTAGAACGTTGGCCGGCACACTTTGGAGAACAGTTCAAATGGCCCATACCAACCCTTCAGCTGCTCAAAATCCGACCTCAACCTGAATGAAACGTAGATGTCGGTCGCGCAAATTTCCTAGGAGTTGAGAAGGCTGTATGGAACCGGAAACGGTGCAAAGCAGCAGAACCAGACAGTTTGCCATCCGAAGCTTTCAAGAATGGAGATAGGAAGATTTTATTTAAAGTGATGCGGGTACAAGACAGTATATGACAATAAGAGGTAGTATTGTCAGACTAGTCTACTTTGCTGATCATTCCAGTCTATGAGAGGGAAGAGGTCTTTCTGTGGCAAGCAACTATAGGGGAATTAGTGTGACTAATATTGTGTCCAAGATATTTAGATCCTTACGATGACTAACTGGAAACTATCAGTCTGAATAACAAAACAGTTAACCAAATACATAAAGAGAGAAATTCATACATGTACTATTTGACAGTATATATATTTTGATATTGAATAAAAATCGGAATATTCTGCTGAAGCTGTGACACTCAGTGAAACGTTCAGAAAAATCTTGTTTTTGTTTTTCCAGACAGGCTGGAATTATATGAAAACTTACCCATATAACATAGGGAAATTAGTTTGACTAATATTTCGTCCAAGATACTTGGGTTCGTAGTTATCCAGCATCTAACTGGAGCTCGAGAAAACCGGGCAGGTTTCAGAAAGACCTGGACGAGGGTGTATCCGTCATATTTCAACTATTAGACGGGTTCTAGAACATAGACATACTCACTGGTGGCCGACACCAGCCATGTTTGTTGACTTGAATTTGTTGACGGTGGTGTTGTGTCAGTGTTTGATTGTGAAGGGAGTACGGAGCCAGTATATAACGCTAATCAAAGCTCTCCATTTGTGCTCACGCAGCCACTGAAGTAATTACGGAGAGTTGTCATTTAAACTGACGACAGGTAATTATGTCCATCAGGGATGCCTACTATCACCCACCTTTCCTCTTCAATTCCGTTATATATGTACTAATGAACATAACCTTAGGTATGCGTGACTTCACAGGGATTGGTCTACTCCTTGGAGGTCATCTGGTTGATTTAGAGCACGCCGACAACGTTGTCCTCTTAGGTGGGGACAATGAAAAGATGCAAGATCTTCTGAATAGGTTGGTCAGAAATCTGAGTGTGCTTGACTAGCATGCGTTTCGTACATGTCAAGTGTAAGACGGTGCTCTAAGACTGGTCTGCAAGCATTCTGTTTCAGGATAGGTAGTAAAGTGGTGGAATGCGTCGACCACTTCACTTACTTGCCAAGATGCATCAGCCTGAACGAGTTGGTTTTTATCAAAATCTCAGGTGTAGTAGGGAAGGTCATGTTTGGCATTCGCCAACTTATATAACCTGTGGCATCGACTTGCGAGATATCGGAATGTCTTTCGAAGGAATATGCTGCGCTGCAATCTGTGTATTCTTGCTATGCGGTTGTGAGATATGATATTTGGAAGTATAATACGTGAGAAGACTATAGGTTGTCGACCATAGGTGTCTTCTTAACATTGCTAGCGTTTGATGGAATCTCCGTGTGAGCAATGTTGTGGTCAGGCGAAGGGTACTAGGGTAGAATGGCAAGTCATTCGATGTGAAATTTTGCCAATCGAAGTGGCCTGTAAATGTGCTGAAAGTGACAAGCTACTGTCTCTACTCTTGGTGAAATGGCTGAAAATCGTTCAGTGGCACAAAAGTATTCACGCCTTGACGTCTTCTCAAGCTTGAATATTTGTGCTAGCTTTTGCCTTCGATTTGCTGGTTCTCTCATACATCTCCCTCTGCCTTTTTTATCGACTTGTTCCTTGCATATTTATGTGAAGAGTGGCAACTTGAGCCAGTGCACTTCTGTGCGAGGTTCTACGTTGGTTTCTCGGTCTGTTTATACCTGTTTTGCAGCTACTGGCATACAATTCATGACCGTTGGCGAGTAGACTGATCATAGTCAAACGCGTGTAACTAATATCAACTCTTTTGACAAAAACGTAAGCATACGAACTCAATTGTGAATTTCGATACTGATGTCTGTAGACGAAAAGTTAGGGCAGAAGTTTGGAAAAAATGTAAAGGTGACTGGACTAAAATGTGCTATTATATCTACTGGTCCAAGTCATTCAGGAAAACGTATACCATCAGGTCGGGGTTCGTGAAACAAACAAAGTCGGTGATTGCAGACTACTTGATACCACAGGATCTATTGCAGGGTTGAGTGCATCTTCAGTTGAGTCGTTACGCCATACTTAAAAGTAAGCTCGAACCCATCTTTTACTTTACGACTACTGATGACTTTTGGTTATCTTATTTCGGTTCCCGTTTCTTTCATATTTTTCGTTTGGATGCTGATGGATTGAGATGAGGTTTGACAAGTTGAACCAATACAGTAATGTCAGGATTCATCCTTACATCGGCTGGCTGAAAGCAAAAATTTCACGAAATGCATTGAGACGAGTACACAAGATATTCTTGATGCGATTAAGTCGAGTATTAATCTAACACTTAAAATATTTAGCAAACAAAAAAATCAGAACTATGTAAGTCGCTTCCGTGTCGTATAAAAGCACCACAGTATCTTGTGTTAAGAAGTGTTATCAAGTAATAAAAACAGAATGACAGTAAAAAATAATGGGGATGAAATATTGAAAAAACTAAATATAACTAGACACACTGCCAGACACTGTGAAGACAGTAGAAAAATATCTACTTTCCTGGATACTGATTAATTATGTTTGCCAGTTAATTCGTTGGCAATTATATATGAATTAACTCAGACAGCACTATCGCAAAACCAACAGGGAACAATGCGTCCTAGCATCAGTTCTCAGACCACTAGGAATAAATCAATACTACGAATATCTTAAGTGTTATGAATCCATATTAGATTTACGGAATAACAAACCTACTGTGATAAATGAACCATCAGGAAACAGAACAGACTGCATATACTTGCAGGCATGGATGTCATTGAATGGCTTTGAGTAAAAAACCTCAGAATGCCATAGTTTTCATTGCGGAAATTGGGAGCTTGAGAAAAAATTCGCGATACTTTGACAAATTTTTGTCGCAAATTATCAAAACACATTAGGAATAAGTTTACGAAACATGTGTACTGCGAAAAACACCAACTGGAAGGTTGTCTTTCAACCAGTATTTCATGTTGACTACTGATTTCAGATCTTAGATGAATACAACTTTTATCAACAACTCAGTTGATGAGTTAAACGTTACGATTGTTTTTAGTACAAGTATGCAGATTTCACAGGACATACATGGGATCCGTGGTACTTGCTTACCCTTTTGTATAATGAACATGTGGTCACCTTTAAAATCAATAAAGGTAGTAAGCATATAAGCCTGAAAGTAGAAAGTGGAGCTTAGGAAAGAGGATATAAAAGGGGAAAAACATGCAGAAAGAGGAACATATGAACAAATACACCAAGCCACAATTCTAGAAGTAGTTTTGAGTTGTATAAAGTGCAAATACAGTTGCACTACTCAAAAACTTGCATTATAACATCGCAGAGATAACAATTATACTTACACAGTTGTTAAGCCTGGCTGGGTGAAATCGACTGTAAAACAACCAAAGTAAACTGCAATCTGATTAGAATAAACGGATTTTAACACGGGAACATGATACTGATTGAGAAATAGGCTCAATTATAATAAAACACCGTATACGTAAGAGGTATACAGATTTCCACTTAGTAAAAGACCCATAAAATAGTCTTTTGATCACTCTAGGCGTTTAAAATGCATGAGGCTTTCCTCAGTTCGATAAGTGGATAAAACTCTGCACAAAACAACAAATATTAGAAACCCTTCTTAAAAACTCGCTAATCTAACAGTAGTAGCGTTGGCTAACATAAGCTGGCGAATCGATGTTCAACATTCAACAACGCCCAAGATCAAAAGTGTGAGGATAGAAACTGATAGTTATTTCGCTCTTGCATCCTAATCTTGAGGTTTTCTTCTTGTTGTTGAGTTTTGATCCCTCGGCTATCAGGCGAATCTCTTCCGTTTTCTCGTTCTTAGATTTCATGAGATTAATGCTTCCTGTGAGTTTGTATTTGCAACTTGTAGGTTTAGTTAGGCAACAGATCATCGGTTACCGGGGGGGTTTGAGATCTTTCTGGATTCCTGTCTGCGTATGTGCCTGAACGGAAACATAAGAATAGAGGAAAAGGATATACTGTAAGTTCCTGAAGGTAGATGGCATTGTAGCATCACACACTTCCCCAAAATCAATACCCTAGAGTTTGATGACTTTCGACATTGATGCTGACCTTGATAGTTTAACTGGACTCGCTAAGCTGAAGGCACCCGGTCAAGCATCCTCGCCATTTGGCACGCTGTCGTTGCACGTTGCACTGCTCGTATTCGACTCTCTAGCCAGTTAGTTGGAACGCATCGGTATTTTGGCATAACCATCCAAATATACTATTCCATCCGACTGCACTATAGTGTTCTTCCTTGGTCTTGTATTGGTGGGTATATAACAAGTATGAATAATTATTGATTGGTCTTTGCGTCTGCTAAGTTCGCACCAGGACAAATCCTAAAACATGAGTATAGTTACTTGAGAGAATTTAGCATACAATCTTAGTAAATCAGGACAAAATGAAGTAATTAGTGAACACAGGGAGGTGGGTTAATGATATTAGTAAACCCCTCCGTAAGTCTCTGTTAATCCATCTGACCTGATGTAACGGCACAACCTTCTTTTAAATGGGTCTATAGATGGTAGGTAACGTATCTCCTGGTAAAGCATTTCACAAGGCACATTCATTCAAAAGGACGAAGTGGGACTTGAGTCATATGTTCCTTCCCTGCCAAGATACTCTTATCCCCATCAAAGTGAAGACATTCTGGATCTACGATACCTCCCCCATTAGCTAACAGCGACAATGTAGTACTAACTTTTGGTTTTCGGACTAATGAGTTTAATCATGACACTGCCTCCCCTAGACCTAATGTATGGCGTGCGGACATTTCGGGTATGAGGGGTTGCGCAATCAGTAGGGATTGGACTGTCTACAAGGGCTCATCAACTGAGAATGCATGGAATAGGTTTAGAACTCTATTTGAAGAGGTAACGACGCCATTTATTCCATGTTCGACTCCACGACGATACTTACATCGCCCCCGTGGTTTAATAAAGACATTAAGAGACTGTTTAGGCAGAGGAAACGTTTATGGGACTTCTTTCTAGAAAGTAGACTGGAAACATTCAAGACTGAGTACTGTAAAGTCCGTAGTCTCTGCAAGGCTTCGATCACACGGTCTCGAATGTCCTACGAGAAGCAGCTGTGAGTGATTGACAAAATTGTCCTTAAAGACCGTTCGCATTCGTCAGAAGGAGGACTAAAGAAAAGGCGAAATTCCCTCTCTGGCGACGGACGAGAGTCCGATAGTCTGGTGGAGTCTAATCTGTCGAAAGCTGAATGTCTCTCTGATTACTTTAGTGAAAGCCTTCTCCTTATATCATGACGATGAAGTGCTAAATAGTGGTGTCAGCACTGTTCCACCAATGGATATAGTGTTCACAACAAAGGATAGAGTCTTACAGTTGCTCATTGGCCTTAAACCTGGAAAATCCCTAGGTCCCGATAAGTTGCATCCCAGACTTCTGTCCTCGCTAGCAGACATCATTGCTGAATCAGTTACGTATCTTTTCACAGGTCCTTTACTCAGACTCGCCTCCTAGAGGCTGGGAAGATGCCATAATCAGCCCAGCCTTTAAAACCGTTAGTCGCCGTTTGGTGTCTAACTATCGCCCTGTGAGTCTAACTAGCATAGATGTTAAGATGTCAGAAAAAATGATTCGTGATAGGGCACTTAAACATGTAGAATCAAGCAATCTTTTGGTACCACAGCAACATGGCTTTCGTACCGGGCACTCCTGTCTAACTAACCTCCTTATCGCAAGAGAGGAATGGGTTGCAGCCCGTGATTGCAAGCTGCCAATAGATGCTGTGTTTATAGACTTCAGTAAGGCATTCGACAAGGTGTCACATGCGAAATTACTGGGAAAGCGCTCCTCTTTCGGGTTTGGTACTTTATTGCAAGCCTGGATTAAGGGCTCTTTGTACTATGGAAGGCAGAGAGTGTGTGAATGGGATACTATCCGGGTGGAAACCTGTCATGAGTGGAGTTCCTCAAGGAACAATCCTAAGTCCACTACCTTCCCTGTTATATATCAACGAGTTGCCAAATATGCTCAACTCTCCGGTACTGTTACTTGCCGATGATGTAAAGACTTGGAGAGCCAAACGCAGTGATGCAGGTAGGTATGGACTTCAGGCGGATTTAGATGAACTAGTAGGTTGGTCCAAACTTTGGTGCTTGGAAATCAATTCTAACAAAAGTGCAGTTATGCACGTTGGTCATAGCAATTGTTTCCAGTATTGGTCTCTCTGGTTGCCACCTCCCTTCCTGCCCGGTGGATCTTAGTCCACTGTCACACACCTACAGGTGCCTTCGATATTGTCCTCTGTCTTGTATCTTGCAAATATTGAAAGTGTGAGTCACACCGGATGTTGAGTGGTCTCATGGTACGAAGTTGCTCCAGACGAGCTGGTCTTAGCGGTCTACGAACGCCGCTTGCCGGAAAGAGTTACTTACCAGCCGCTGCCAATATTTGGCTCCACGATAGTTCGCCCATTGTAGAACTAACGTGGTGCCTTCGTTTGCACTCTCAGCAGACATTTCCCTCTCTTCTCCTTTTGAAGCCCGTGGATTGTTCGATTTAACTGGGATTCCGCAGGCAATAAGAGAAATGGGATGTTTCTAGTCCCTTGCAAGGAGTTTTAGGGGCTCCTACAGGTGATGACTCGTCTGGGAGTGCTCAGCTGCTCGTGGAAAGGCGACAGAGTTTCACACAGGAAGAAAAACGAGTGCCTGGAAGTGGTTAAACCAGTTCCCTCCGGTCAGATGAGGCATGCAGTGGTCCGATGTGAAGCATTTCTTTTTTGTGTGTTTGTGTGGGGTGACAAACTTCGCCACGTTCTTAACTTCTCCTACGTTGTTCTTAACGCTTCTCCTGCCGCATTTAGAGAGGTTTTCAACTTTTTTGCGGTGGAGAGTAGCCTCCTGGGGTTGTTGCTGTGAAGTGTGGACAACTTGCTGCACTTCCGGCAGGTGAGGTGGAACCATTTAGACCCTTGCTTTCTCATGAGCTTATAATACTATACTATGGATGTCACAGAGACACTTTCAGCGTGGTTGACGTAGGCTGCGTGTAAATAGCTGTTTTACGGCTGACAGGGATTTCGCGCAAATACTTCAATCTTCGGGCGTTGCAGCGTATGCATTCTTCCGTAAGAGTGGTGTTGTAGTATGTTACAAACTGCAAACGAAATCTTGCGTTTCCGTTATTTTCTGGAGATCACTGACTTTGAGGTTCGCGGTTAAAGGTATATGCTTTCAAAATGTGCTTGGTTTAGATGATACATCCCCTTGTTTCGCCCGTGCATGAATTTATTAACCAGCTATTCCACCTGGACCAGGTTAAATAAAACACTGTAGCGAACAATCTACTTGTTTGTCAACTTTCTTGGTGATTATTTTGTACCCAGCTGCCCATGGGTTTCGAAACACAGGCAGTTATACGAAAGCTGGCGTCTACTTTGGTAAAATTCCCATTCACAGTTAATTAAATTAACGTGAATAGAAAAGCTTTTGACCACTGAAAGGCGCATGAGCCAAATCTCATCTAGAGATTTAGTTTTAAAGTTCCCATCACGTGAATTAGAACAAGACATATAAGCTTGCAATACTCTGTTCGATTAGGCTTTCTTTAGGCTTTACTCTAATATGGATAAGCCTAATTTAAATAGAATTAAACAAATCGTGTGGACCTATGGGACAGTGTGGCGTTTTGAAATAATGATAGTAATAATAATCATACAAATAATAAAAGTGACAACGTTGACCAAAGCATATTCAGTATAGATGACAACGATGATGAAAATCAAGAAAGCAACACGAAACTGTAGACACTTCGATGACAGAGGTGGATCAAAGTTTGGGAAAATAAAGTTACTTAATGCTGAAGGACAAAGCAAGATCCTATGGTCTGGGACCTGCATATGTATTTGCTATAGTTGGCGGTAAAAGTGTGTTTTGTTTGGTTTGGAGTGAAAATTTATGATGAAAGGTCAGTGTAGATGCATTAGGAGTCTTACTTAGACACTAAGATGGCCTGCATATGCATTGTCACAGAAGATAGTTATGGATAGCTCGGCGATCTAGAAAAGCTACCAGTGGATAGAATCTGGTTATTAATCGGCAAATTTTAGAGGTCTCAACCTCACCAGAAGTCTTTTCGATGACTTAGATGACTTTGCGGTGAAGAAAAAAGCATGCAGTATGGAATTCAAAGCCTGGATGTGACGCCGCGGGTTTGATTGCGCAGACCATAACAACTGATGTGTTAGAACTGGAACCCACCACTGATCATAAGGGTTGATTTGTATGCCACGTCGACAAAAGCCTTAAGTTGTTTATAGGCAGTCTCATCCAATTCGTTCTAGAAATAGAGTCTAACTATCGTATCCCAGTGATGAGATTCAAAGTACTTTTGGATGTTCTCTATTTTAGTTCATCACCAACGCGTATGCCACTCAACATAAACGGACAGTATTCTAACAGTGGAGGCAGGCAGATTTCATTGTGTCATCGGCTTGGCGTCTCTGAATAAGAATTTCCGGATAATGCATCCCATTTGGATTCTAGATTTGCATGTCCGTAGCACAACGTGGTCGCACTGAGTACCCTAACCCAGGGTTTCAAATGCCCTTAAAAGCAAGTAATTTCCTAAACTGAAGATATAGTTGGATGTCCTTCGACAACGTACAAATTTATACTCAGCTGCATTCACTACCGTTGAAACCATC